TGCTGGTCCCAAGAGGCTGCTTCTATAACCAAGAGGAGTCAAGAAAAGGGGAGAGTATGAGTTCTTTGGCAAAAATTCCCATTGAAATAGCACAGGCAAGTGCGTGGCCACGCGTTGTTATTTTCCTCAAGAGCTCTGAGGACACTGCAGGGGAGGCTTATCTCTGTGCGCATAGCCTCGTCCCGAGGGGCTGGGGCATGGACGAGCACGGGCTTTTGGGTAGGTGACACTGTCTTGGACCTAGTGCTGATGGAATCCTCCCCGGGTAGAGGTGGATGGGAGCCCCACACATGGATTACGGGTTTCCTTCGATGACAGCCTCGGGAGACGCTGGACAGGAAAAGCCAAGACCCTGTGCAACAAGAAATTAAATAAGGAGTTCCAAAGCGGTGCTGATCCTTTCAGATAGGCACCAGAAATAACTCAAGATGCAACTGATACTTATTAGACATTTTAGGTTATGGACATTTATTGCCCAAATAAATTCTACCCTTGTCTTTTAATTTTTTATTTATTATTTTAAAAAAATGTTTGCTAGGAGGCATGCGTGCTCACCAGAGAAAGTAAGAAGGAGAAAGTGAAAATGCCCCCACGGTGGGGTGGTCATGCGGCAGTCCCTTCTCTTCCATTTCTCCCTCCTCTCGGGATTTTTGGGCCCACATGCATATGCATCTGGCATGTTTTCAAGCTACTGCGTCTGGGACTTGAACCATGGAGCCGGGCATGTGGAATCTAGCCACCTTAACCTCCACATCACCAGCGGGCCCTCTTCCCTTAGTCTTAATCGTGTGCAACGGCTAACCACACACCCCCCCCCCAGCCCACGCGCCACAGGAGTCGTGGAGGCTAGCCAGCCAGTCTCTGCTGCAGAAGGCCGCTCACCACACTGCTGACCAACGTCAAGCTTTGACTAAGCACTACTCACCCTCCTCCTTACTTGCAAGCTTAATCTTTAAAATCGCCCTGAAATCTGTAAAATCTCAGCATACATTACCCAGGCCACTAGGGTTTGGAGGAGTCCAGACAGTTGTCCTAATGCTGCTCAAATACACCCTTTCTGCTTCACTTACTTGAAGGCTGAGACAAACTAAGACGACCATCAGTTTGCTGCTTGGAAAACACTCACCAAAGGATATTTGATTTAACAAGCCAACACCACCCTCACCGGCATCTGAGTCTCAGGGAGTTAGCAGACATTCCCAGCTAACCCTGGCTAACAGTGGTGCATCTCAGATCTGGTTCCAAGTTGCAATTACCCCAGACCTTTGAAATATCTTCAAGCGCAAGGTCTATTCCAGAACTACTAACCCATTTCTGGGGTAGGGTCTAGGGACCAACAGTTTTCAAAAGTCCTCCAGGTGGTGCAGCCACACGGGAGACCCAGCAGAGCCTGCCCTTGCTCACAGCCACGGGATGGCCAGCAGCCCACACAGCCCTGGGGAGCTGACTGGACCTGCAGAATCCCAGCCGACCCAGACCTGCACTGACTCACCAGACCCTGAAGTGCAGCATTTGCACATTAAAGTTTGATAAGCACCAGGTTGCCCTTTAATGGGGCCTAATGGGGCCTGCTGATTGTCATTAGCTCCATAAATGGGAAACCCTGAATAATGAAGCAATAATGATCTGGGGAGGGGAGTGCTGACTGAGTGGGGGCGTGGCCCGCAGAGAGCAAGAGACCCAGAAGCTGTTAAGGAGGCTTAAAGAAATGGAACCTTCTGGCAGCTCTTGCTTTTGCATTTGCATAGACCGATTTTCACACTGCAACACCTTCCAGACAGAATCCTCCAGTCAGCAGGTCTCTGTTTCCATGAAAGCGCAGTACGTGACAAGGCAGCTCTGAATGCTCTGTGCTTACCACTGAATAAATCTACAACCCCCTTCCCCACCATGTGAATAATTCCCCATTTTGCAGAAGCTCAGAGAGTTAAAACTTACCCACGGCCTCTGAGCCATTCGGTGGCAGAGTGAGGACTCTGTGTTTCCTGCGTTACTAAAGCCGAGCTTTATTTTATCGCTAGTGTGGAGAAGAGGAGTGGGGGCTGCAGAATTCTTGCTCAGCGGCAATGCTGGGGACCTTCTACAACTTCATTCAACAGCGTGGAGGACGGGGTGGTGCAGGATTAACACAAGAGTTTGTTTTCACTCCTATTTCAAGCCACGTAGAGCCCTACCCTTTCCCTTCGCTCTCACTTGACTCCACCTGGAACATCTGTTTCATTTCCACCAGTGGCAGGGCCCAGAGCCTGACAGCCTCGTGTACTGGTGGCTGGCACATCACAAGTGCCAAGGGAGGCCCAGGTCGGCCCATGGCAGCCCAGAGTGAGCCCTGAGAACAGGAGCATTGGTGCTTCAACCAGGAGTCCTAACCGAAGCTCTAACAGGTTCCATCAATTTCAGAACAGCACTGGCGACGAGGAACTTGTGTGCACGGGCGGGTTTTATCATCGCAGAGCAAATAAACACAATAGAGAATGTCATTGTAACGGTAAACACACCTGAAATGTAAGGGTACACAGTGACACCCCACACATACGGGTGATGCTCTGTAAATACTTTGCCTCCATAACTGTCTTTGTAGGGTACTGAATTCCAGGATGAGTCTTCAGGGACCAACCTGTGTCCCATCAGTCATGAATAGTTTCAGAGGGTTTATGTAGGAATAACACATTACAAATTTGAGGGAAAAAATTAAGCATCACAGAGCAATTTTTTAAAATATTTAATACATTTTTTGGTTCTACAAAGAATGATCATTTCTTAAATATTACAAACAGTGAAACAAATATACTAGCTTACAGATATGTACAATGTACTACTTTATACTTCAAAAATGCAGGAGGATACATGATATATTCTCTGCGTAATCTCAGACGTAGGAAGGGCTCGGTATTGCTCATGTGTTGGTCTTGTTGCATCGTGTGCATGCCCATGGCTTGTCATGGTGGAGAAGGGCCAGTGGGGACAGGAGGGGCTCCTTTCTGGAGCGTCACCTTCAAAGCAATATCTTGAGTTTTAGAACTGACTGTGGCTGGGTCAAAAGCTCCTGTGCCCATATGTGATATAGAACATGTTCTCGAGAACCACACCCGCACGTTCAGAGGTGCGGGACACACAGGTGCAAACAGTAAATATGTAGTCACCTGATTCACAGGTGCTGACTCAAGCCTTGGCTCCGACAAGATGATGATGGAATAACGGTCAATATTCTCAGGTCAGTTCATGGGAAACGATCTCGGAATGAAGACCCGCGATCGAGGCCTCAGTAGCCTTCCGATAAACCCCCAGGCAAAAGAAACAGGCCTGGCCTCAGTGGCCCAAGTGGTAGGGTGCCACTGCGTGGTACTAGCGTCATGCAAAAGAGTAGGGTTTGGATCCTAGCCAACCTGAGCACACAGGGCATGCCTGCGAACCTGGCTGGTTGGGAAGCCCAAGGGGGATTATGACATGGAGACCCTGTCAGAGGCACCACTCTCTCTCAATAAATGATCAAAAGAACTTTAAAAAATACACAAAGGAACAAAACACACCTTGAAAGTCAGATTTCTAATAAGAACAAGCTTCTCCTACACGCTTACACATGGAGAGTATGACATGAAAGGGATTAAAAACTTCTGACTTAAGATCAGTTAGAATGAGACAATTTGCAGGACCATTTCACATTAAAAGCCTCATCAACATGACAGCCATTGGCGAAGATCACCTCTTCCTCTGAGCCAAGAACCCACTTGAAATCCATACATCCCATTTGACTATGAAATTCTTTCTTGTTCCACTTAGCCTATAACCAAATGACAAATTGATGATCTCCAAGGATAGAAGCAGGGGGGAAAAAGAGCAAGAATTGTCGAAGGAAAAATGTTCCAGAAAATCTGCAGGCTAGGCCTCATTTGCAAATGCTATGGAAGGTCCCTGGGAAATGAGCAAGCCTGCTTGAGGAGGAGTCCGTCAGGATTTGAAGAGGGCCCTGGGACTGACCCGCATACTCTGAGCTCCGCTCTGATTCCCAAGCCACCTGCATCCTTTCAAAGCAAGAACATTTGCCTTGGAAAGTCTGGAAAGCTTTGTTCCAAGAGACCAAGTGTAGCAAAGGCACCCCACAGTAAACACTTCACAAGGGTGAGGTACTGGTAGGACACAGAGGATGAGAACAGGACAAGGGAAACGAAGCAAAAAGAGAGAAAGAAGACAGATACGTTGTGAGAACAAGTGTGCTTTGGAGGCCGGAGGTGCCCGCTCTGCTGCTGCAGCAAGTCCCGCTGGGGAGACAGCAGGGACCTCAGGCAAAGGTCCTGTGTGCCGACATCCCCAACTCGAGTGCTCTGCTCGGGCTGGCCCCGCTGCCCAGCAGCCTGGAAGCCCCCTGTGCAAGTCCGTGTGGCCTCACAACTTCCTCTGTCTGCCAGGTGGGCAACAGGCAGGACTACCAAAGACGATCCCGCAGGCAGGGCCGGCACACCCTCTGCTGACGTGAACAGAACTAACGGGTTGTGTTGGCAGGAACCTGCAGGAAGCAGAGCCATGAAGTTGGGCAGGCTCTGCCCGGGACACAGCAGCCTGCCCGTCTCCTGCCTCCCATGCCAAAGCGCGGTTCCCAGCAGTGGCGTAACTTGGTTTGAGTGATGAACGACACTCAGAATTGTTAGGAAGAGGAGATAATTGTTTCTAGAGTGAGTATTGCATTGAGCAGCTCTTAGAAGACATACATGATGGAACATGCAAGAGAGTTACTACTACTGGGACCAGCAGTTGGCATAATGGCTATGTTGCTGGACTCCCAGGTAGTCGACCGCGGTTCGAGTCCTGGACCCGGTGGTTTAAACTCACGCAAGGTGTGTGTGTGCCCAAGATCCCAAGAGGAGAATAGAAGAGAAGGGATTGCGATTGTGGCATGGCCATTCCCCCTGGGGGGTGATTTCTCACTTTCTATCTCTCTGTCCCTCTCAGTCTCTCTTTCTGGGGAGTGCATGCACCCTAGAGCAAAAAAAAAAAAAAAAAAAACAACTCTCAAAAAAAAAGAGAGAGAGAGTTACTACTACTTAAATGCATTTTCCAAGAATATACTGCGCACATAGGTAGATCATCAAAAACACAGTGACAGAAGGGACAACTTCTGTTTCCAAGTATTTCATTAAGGTCCAAGGATGGCATCCACATGTTTGTGACACAGAAAAACATGCTTCTGGTCATTGGATGGCCTTTGCTGGCCGTTAGGCAGCTAGGTACAGATAAGTTATTAAAGAGAGGAAAACCATCTTGGAGGGGGAAATGTCTAAAAATTTATTCCCTTGTATTTAAAACCTGAGGGCTGGAAGCAATCAGGCTCCCCCTGGATGAATAGAAGGGACTTCACAGTACACCCTCGAGTGTAACACACGGGACATTATTGCGACGTTTTCATAATGTCATAATCTCCTTCCTCAGACACTGGAGAAACGCTGACAAGGAGCATGCTAGGAGGGAACGCACTGCACGCAACAGGAAACGCACGAGGCGGCTACACTACACTTGCTAGCTAGTCTACGCGAGGCACTACCTCAGGGCAGCTGGGCTCCTGACGGGCTGGGGGACGCAGGGTGAGCATCCTCTGGGGAGGCTGTGTTCATTTAGTGTTAATTTAGTTAAAAAGCATGAGAAGGACCCACTGGGTCCACTTTGAACCAACTGGTCTTCGCGCTTCCTCCTACCTCTTCCCTCCCCCGAGGGCGTTACCGACTCCTGAGCAGGGAGGAACGTCTGGCTGGGGGCTGGTGCGGGCAGCCTGGGGGAAACACGCTCTCGCATGCATGTAGGTGACGTTAGTCCCTCGGCACACGCTGCTTCCGCGTACCAGTCCTGCTGCCTCCCGTGGCCAGGGCCGCCTTTGGAAGCCACCGGCCCCTCTGTCAGTTCCCTGGGATGCGGAGCATGTTGGTTTGCGTCATAACCGCCGGCAGGTTCCGTGACTCCAGAGAGGGGTGGCTTTTCGTTGGTGTGGGATGCCCTCTTACGGGCAAGAGGACGTGTCTCGGTCAGATGCAATGTTTAACACGTGGGCACTGCACATGCTACCCTGATGACAGTGGCTTCACACGGGGACAGAGGAGGGGACGTGTGGGGGCGCTCACATGAGCACGCACTTGCCCTTGAGCTTCTCTTTCCTCTTCTGCTGCTTGCTCTTTTTGCCGTCGATCTGGAGGCTCACGGTCCTGCGCTTCTCCAGGTTGAGCAGCTCCTGGAAGAGCTCCTTCACGTTGTGGTTGAGCTTGGCCGAGGTCTCCATGAAGGCGCACTTCCATGTGCGGGCCAGGGCCTCGGCCTCGCTGCTCTGCACCTCCCGGCTGGGGCTCTCGTCGCACTTGTTGCCCACCAGCATGATGGGGATGCTCTCCACGTCCCCCTTGATCTCGCAGATCTGCTCGTAGATGGGCTTGAGCTCCTCCAAGGACTGCCGGCTGGTGATGGAGTACACCAAGATGAAGGCGTGGCCCTTGGAGATGGAGAGCCGCTGCATGGCTGGGAACTGGTGGCTGCCCGTGGTGTCGGTGATCTGCAGCGTGCATATGCTCTTGTCACAGCTGATGACCTGCCGGTAGGTGTCTTCCACCGTGGGGATGTAGCTCTCCCGGAACGTGCCCTTCACGAACCTCAAGACCAGGGAGCTCTTGCCCACGCCGCCGGCTCCAAACACCGCCACCCGGTAATCATTGCTCTGTTCAGGCATGTTGTCTGAGGGCACCAGCTGCCAGCCAGCGGACACCTAGCAAAGGAACCAGATGTTGGAAAGAATTCATTAAATAATGAATTTTTTAAAAAAGCCTTCTTGGAGAGGACGGCTTTACCCTCTTTTGATAGCTTAAGCAAACAAACTGATAAAGTGTGTTTTCACTCTCCCAACGTGAGAACAATCTACACTTCATTACAACACTTCTACAATCCAAATCAAATAAATTAGGTCAATCCTCAATTTTTCCAAAGACCAGCCAATCTACCCTTCACAGAGAGCAGCTGGCCCATGACCAGAGCAGCTGGCCCATGACCCCCAGCCTCTCCGCTCACACAGACCCCGTACAGCGTGAAAAGAGGCAAAGTCTGTCCAAGGGTGGCAGAAGCAAGACCAGCCAATGAGGCACTGAGAAACTAGCTGCTCTACGCACGCGCACGCACACATACAAGTATGCGCGCGCACATACACATACACACACAAGTATCCTTGGTGCTAAGTACCAAATACCAACATGCAGCTCATAAGTATGCGCGCGCACACACACATACACATACACACAAGTATCCTTCGCTGTTGCGCTAAGTACCAAATACCAACATGCAGCTCATAGCAATGTATGATGATTATTTCTGGAATGAATACTGAGGGGAAGAGGCATGACAGTGCTCTTAGTCCTTACTTGGTGCTTACATCATTTGCAAAGTCCTCACCACCTACAGAGGGTGCTATTACCTCTGCGGTACAGCGGTGAGCTGGGATTGCAGGACGGATCGGGAATGTCGCACAGCCAGTAAGACTGGACACGCAGCAGCCCTGCAGATGCCACACGCGCCCCACGGCCTGCCCCCGAGGAGAGCTGCTTACTCGGGCATTACCTAGGCCTTGGTTTAGACCGTCTCATTGAACAGGAAGAGCTGACAGGTAGCTAAGAAGCATAGATAGCCATTCTAGTCATCTAAATTACAACAATTATAATTATCTAGTTTTTTAAGGTTGTTTTGTTTTGTTTTGGTTTGGTTTTTTGTCATGGAGTGTGTGCTTGCACTGGAGACAGAGAGAGGGAAAGTAAGAAATCACCACCCAGATTTTCAAGCTACCAGCTCCAGGACTCAAACTGTGGTTAGCCAATGTGGGAGCCCAGCACCTTAACCACTATGCCACCTGCTGGCTCCTGTACTTAATCTTTAAGAACCCTAAGGACTCGAGTATTACCGGGACAGTAGCATGAGCTCTTTGTTAAGCACTTATAAGAGCAGAGGTCCAGAAAGCAGGAGGGCGCCACTGCAGGATGGCTGAAGCCACGTGGGAGGCCCGGTCTGCTTCTCCGCCCAATCTAAACAGGCGGAGTGCAAGAGGCACACACCTGGGGTCCTCACTCACTGGGCGGACAGAGGAGAGGAGGAGGGTAGAGACGGACGGGAAGAGGAGGCGGATCGTGACTGGACGAGAGTCTGTCAAGCACCCCCATCTCTCTGTCTGCCCGCTTCCTGTGCACTGTCTTCCTCTGCCTCATTAAAAACAACAACAGAAAAGAACTGGGTTTCCCTTCCTCCCAGACATCGCCCCAAGCCCAGGGAATTTGTAAATGTTCTTTCTTCATTTGTAAACTAACAATGACCTCTCATCCTTCCCCTAACTTGGTAAGGAAGAACATTTAACACCCACAAAAGTAGGGATTCGGAACAACTGATTTTTTCATCTCACTGAAGTAGACAGTATGGTATGTAAAGCGCCGAACCCACCCTTTCCTACAGACAAGCACTGTGCTAATCTTCCACTTCCTATGCTTAGAGTAACTGTGAGACAATAATGAAAAGTATTGTTGGAAAAAAAATCACTTTCAGAGTCCAGGAAAAAGCTTTTCAACATAACTAACAATGGGAGGGTCTGAAGGGTCTATGCGACGACTAGGCCTACTGGCAAACTGAGCGTCATCTCACCCTCTGATTCCCCCCTGCATCTGCCTACAACCTGCTCATTAAAGTACCTTGGAATGTGGAGGCCAACAGGTGGTTCGGTGGTTAAGGCACTCGGTTCCCATACGGCTGACCACAGTTCAAGTCCTGGACCTGGCAGCTTGCTTTCTCACGTTCTCTTTCTTTCCATCTCTCTCTGGTGAGCATAGATGCCCTGTAGCAAATTAAAAAATAATAATACTGGGTTGTCAGAGAAGTTGTGAGGCGTTCTTACATAGAAAAAAACAGAAAAATATGTCATTATTTTTCTGATGACCCAATGATAACAATTTTTTTATATAAAAAGAAATACTTTGGGATGCACTGGTATACTTCTAAAGTCCAAACCTACCAAGAAACCGAAGTAGCATTAATGCTAAAAGAGAGTAAGGAAGGGGAACCAGCAGTTAGCGTAATGGCTATGTCGCTGGACTCCCACGTAGTTGACCGTGGTTCGCGTCCCGGACCCGGTGGCTTAAAACTCACGCCGGGCACGTGTGCGTGTGTGCCCAAGATCTCGAGAGGAGAATGGAGGAGAAGGGATTGCAGCGTGACATCCTCCCTGGGGGGTGATTTCTCGCTTTCTGTCTCTATGTCTCTCTCTGTCTGTCTGGCGAGTGCACGCGCCCTATACTGAAAACCTCTCAAAAAAAAAGAGAATAAGGAAGGACGTCAGGAAGTTCTCTAACAACAAAAGACTGCGGAAGAACCTGATCCGAAGTTCGATTATGTCTGTTAAATTCTCATGAGGTCATTTTGATCCCTTCAAGAGTACAGCATTGTGCTAACTTGTACTACACTTTCAAAAAAAGGAATGGCACGTTTATAACCTCTCTGTACCCTCAGAATGGAGCCGCCTTTTTCTGCTGGGAAAGCCCTGTCCTCAGTCCACCCTGCCCTATTTTGTTTTTATTTTTTCCTTAGCATTTATTTATTTATCTATTTACTCGTGTTTTTCAAGCCACCAGGTCTAGGACTCAAACCACGGTCAGCCATGTGGGAAGCCAGCACCTTAACCACCACGTCACCTGCTTTTATGATGGTTATTTAGCTCCAGACTACAATGTAAGACTCTCACTGGAAAGGAACAAGGCTTAATAAGATCTGTATCCCAATATCTCTAAAGGAGCAAGCCCTCTTTATGTGTTTGCTGAATATGTCGTTAGCTGGGTTCAGTTGTTTCCATTAGTAAATTGGCAGACCAAATAAACAAAGCAAATATAAAACAGAAATTATTCGTGGCTACTCTTATTCTTTTCACCAAAGAAACACCAACTGAGACACCACCAAAGCCCTCTTATTCTTTTGGCCAAAGAAACACCAACTGAGACACCACCAAAGGCAAGGCTCTGGGCAAGGGGTCGGGAAACAGCTGTGCAGAAGACAGACCAAAGGCAGGATCCCTGTTCTCATAGAACTCAGAATCTGTGGAGCAGGCATAACTAAGAATAAAACTTTACAAACATTTAACAAAGTGCATCATAGCAAGTGCTACAAAAGAGGTCTGAGGAACCTAATCAAACTGGAGATACCAGGAACAATTTCCCCAAGGAGGTAGAATGGGAGCAGGAATTTGCAAGATGAACAGAAGTCAGACAGTCGAAAAGGTACAAAGTTCAGTGTGCACTTATGAGCTATGCAATAATTCTATACCGATCCTAAACTCTAACAGTTTTCACCCAAACTTATACCATATTCTTCCATCTCAAAACCATTTATCTCACAAGCAGTCATAAAAAATACCTAGTAGGTACAATGTAAGCACAGTGCTTGGCCAACTAGAGGGCAAAGAAGAGTTTTAGAAAAGGATACATCATCCCCCGGGTTATAGATACTGTGATAAAATTATAAACAAAGGCAGCAGAACCTAGTGGATCATCTCATTCTGCCAAGAGCCTTCGGGAAATGTTTCACAGAGGGCTAGGATGTTCCAGATGGTGAAGTGATGAAAGGCATGTCATTCAGCAGAGAAACCGCACAGAAAAGCACAGGTAAAAGAAATAGAGCTAACAGTCACGTCATGAGGAAGTGGAATGAACTGGCACGGCCAATGGGAAGTGAGTGAGTGGCGATATCACTCACCAAGATCAAAGTCCAAGGAGAGAAGCAGGTTTATAGAAAGCTGGTGTAGAGTGAGGACAAAGGAGCTCTGACTGGGTCAGGTTTGTAGGACAAATTGGGGGCAGGGGATCTGCTAGATGACTGGGTTTTTGGAAGATTGGTAGAGAGGTCTAGTCCTACTGATGGAATTTGTGTGGAGTACACAGATAGCACCATTGAATAACAAAAGTCCCCCAGAGAGAAAGAATGTAGAACAGAAGAATAAATGCCAAAGCTGACATATAATATTAAGAGAACTTGGCAGAACCAGCAGATGGTGTAATGGCTATGTTGCTGGACTCCCATGTAGTCGACCATGGTTCAAGACCCGGACCTGGTGGCTTAAACTCACGCCGAGCATGTGTGTGGGCATGCCCAGGATCCCGAGAGGAGAATGGAGGAGAGGGGATTGCGGCCTGGCCATCCCCAGGGTGGGGTGATTTCTCACTTTCTGTCTCTCTCTTTCTGGCAAGCACACGCGCCCTATAGCAAAAATAAACCTCTCCAAAAAAAAAAAAAATAGAGAGAGAGAATTTGGCAAGTTACTTAAACTTTCTGCATTTTAGCTGGCTCAGCTATAAGATGGAGATGACAATGCTGTCTTCACAGCACTATTATGGGGAGTGAGCAAGACAAATGCAGCCAAGCACGTAGCATAGAGTTCTCTTTACTTTCTGTGAAGACCTAGCACTTCTAGAAGGGGTTTATGAAGGAGCAATAAAAAGAAAAGGAGGGAGGGATTACTAGAAAAACAACAAAATGCCTAGGGAGCAGAACATGTCAAAAAGACATTGGGGCATGCAGCTGAAGCAGTGCTTAAAGGAAAATGATAGCGTTCAGTCTTATATTAACAAAGACCGAAGGATCCACTGGGCCAGCAAGTGGTAGGGAAGTTAAGGTGGCTGGATCCCATATGACCAACTGTGAGGTTCAATCCTGGACCTGGTGGCTTGAAAATCATGCTGGTACATACGTGTG